TATCGCTTGGCTCAATTCAAGCGGCCGGCGCCCGATTTGCCGCGCGCGTGCCGCCCGATATTTTAGCGACGCTGCGATGGAGCAGTGGCAGGCTTTCCTGGCCAAGGTTCAGACCGAGGCACCTGGGGCGACGGGGCAAGCAGCCAAGAAATCCACAGGCGCGAATGAGGACACCGAGGCGCGCGAGTTGGCAGCTATTGGTGTCAAGTTGGGGCTGGGGGCATGCAAGGACAACGGGGCGCTTCTTGGTGCCGTGTTCCATTGTTTCAAAATGCCAGTGTCCAGCGCCACGCACGCGGCGACGAAGACAATCGCTGACAATTTTGAAGCGGAGGTCAAAGGCAAGAAGGGGCACGGCCTCGTTCCGGATGGTCGTCGTTTCAGCGGCGCCCTGATGGCCATCGTGCCGAATTTGGTGGGAGAGGCCGAGGACCTCGTCGAAGAGTTTCTGAAGGCGCACCCGCCCGACTCCAAAGTGCTGAGCAATGTCGCGACATGTTGCCTCCTTGGGCGTATGCACAATAAAGAATACAAGCGCCTGCATCTCCACCTCTGCCCTAGTCTCGCGAAGATTGAAGCGATTTTTTGCGCTGCTCTCGAACGAGATCAGCGCGATGAGCAGCCGGGCCGGGCCCCCCAAAGGGGGCCTTGAGCGGAGGGGGCAGGAGAAACTTCTCCAGCTGGGCTTCTCGAAGGCGGACGCGGATGAGCCGAAGTAGTGGGGGCGTCCGATGATGCAGCAATTGCTTGGATTTGCATTTTCCCTCGGGCCCGTGGCCGGAGGCCGCGCTAGAAGTTTTTAGCTCGAGGCTTCGACCTTTCGAGCGCGAGCGCAATTATATGCAGCGTTTAACTGTGTAACTTTTTGGCCCGATTGCATTTGAACGGTCCCTTCTGCTGTCGTCCTGTCGCCCCTCCCTCGCTCCTCCTCCTCTCTCCCTTCCCGTGGCAGTTGCGCGAGTGATTTTTTGTGGAACCGTGCGCGCGCGTCTACACTGGGTGGAGCCTCGGGCCCCTCGCCGCCCCTGCCGCGACCCCCCGCGGTGGCTGGTCACGGTCGCTCCTGAGCAGAAGCACCTCCACAGGCATCGGCCGGCTTTGAGAGAGAATGGGCTAATCAGTCTAGTTGTTTGTTTTTTTCGAACGATGCGGTGTGGCAGCAAATATATATATATATATAGAGATATATATATATATATGTGTATGTATGTATATATATAGACAGAAAGGTACCCTGTGCGGCTTGGTTTTCGGAGATCTGCGTGGCCGCCCGAGACGCCTCTGGAGTTGAATCCAAAAAGACGTTCTCAGAGAATTCTCGGCGGGAAAGACGGCGGGAGGGGTCCTCGGTGAAGCGCGCGGGAAACAATAAGAAACTCATCGCACCCAAACAGATCCCCAGAGCTTGCGCATGGATATCTGTAGGCACGAGTACGAAAACCAAAAAAACACAGGGCAAACAACAAAACATAAATCCCTGGGGAGGTCCCGTGGAAATCCCCGCAGGCCCTGTGTATGTTTGGTTCTGGGCTGAAGAACAAAAAAACACAATGATTTTTGCTTCTGATGCGAAAAAAAAACAAAACTACCAAAGGAAAACCAAACAAACAAACAAAAAAAAACAATCCCTGCGGCAATCTTTGGGGAAAGACCTCCCCAGTTTTTTTTTCTTTTTTTTTTCCTTGAGTTTTTTTTGTTCGTTCTGAGTTTTTTTTTTTTTTTTTTTAAAAAAAAAAAAAAAAAAAAAAAAAAAAAAAAAAAAAAAAAAAAAAAAAAAAAAAAAAAAAAAAAAAAAAAAAAAAAAAAAAAAAAAAAAAAAACGTGTTTTTTTGTTCTGATGTGAGCAACAAAAACACCAAAGGAAAACCAAACAACGAAACAACACAATATCCACGGAAACCTTTCTGGGGAAATGACCTCCCCAGGGACATGTATATATATATATATGGTTTTCCCTTGGTTTTTGTTGGTTCTGTGCTGAAGTACCAAACGACATTTTTGTGGCTCTGATGTGAAAAGCAAAAAACCCAACGGAAAAAACTTGGGGGGGGGGGGCCTCCCCAGTTTTTTCTCTGGTCTTCCTTAGTTTTTTTTTGGTTCTGAGCTGAAAGACCAAACAGAACGCAATGTTTGCTTTGTTTCTGGATGGGGCAGCCAAACAAACACCATGCTTTCTTTGGTTCTTGAAATAAAAAATATCAAGGAAACTTAGGGGAGAAGAAAAAATGACGAAATATGTCCAGTACCTCCCCAGGGATTGTTTGTTTGTTGTTTTGGTGTCCTTTATATGCACGCACATATATATATATATAAATATACACATATATATATATATATAATATATATATATATATATTAAAAATCCCAAAAGAAACCAGATTGATTCAGAGCTGGGGGTAATTATTTAAGTTAGCCCATTGCGTCATGCCCCAGAAAGCATTCACACCCCCCCCCCTCCCCCCCGCCCCCCCCCCACCCCACGCAAGCCTTTCGAGTGATCATTTCATGCGCATTTTCCGTAAGTTGTGTCTCAAGTTGAAAGCTTTACGCAGCCAGTGATCACAATTCCCGATGATGGCCAGTGCCCGCAACTCCAGAGCCGACAGCTTCGCGCGGTTCTTCTCGGTGACAGATGATCGTTGCATCACCTTCGAGGAGGCGATCGTGCTTCATCATTTGTTCTCATATGCTCATCCTCTTTGCCCCAATGCATGCGTTGCGCTATCATTCCGTAGCCAGCCGGCTCAAATTGATTGTTTTATTGTTGTTCTAGCTTCTGTCTTTCAAATGGCGAAAGCAGGCAGATTTGAAGATGTTGTTAAATTCAGTTCATGTACTGAACTGTACAAGTATTACAAAGGATGCAAAATGGATGCAGCAAAAATTGAGCGTGTATATCTTGACGATCTAATGAGCGAAGACACAAACACTTTTTGTTTTCATAAGTGTTGTTAGAGACTTGCCTCCCGCAAACGATGGGGGCTTTTGTCGCCGAGCAGCGAACTTTTGGGCGGCGCTCTTGATCGAACGAGCACAGAGGAATACACAACAAATAATTTCAAATACTCGCGTGTCCCAATCTGTCGAGAAGGTGCGAGCTCACAAATTTGTGTTGTCATCGTTGTATATCAAAACAGGCAAGTCACAAAAATGTGCAGTTACAAAAGCAATGGAACAAAGTACGTGGTGCATCTCTTCAATGATGATTTTGTTTCAGGTTCACAATCCTCGTGTTCAGTGGGATCCAGTACCTAAAGCATTGCGCGAATATGCAGAAGGACTCAATTTAGAGAAAGGTGTATACCCAGGGGGGTTAACGATAATGCTTTGTATGATCTCCAGCGGACTATCTTCATCCCTGTCAAAATTATTTCAAGAACCAACAATCAAACAATGTGGTGACGATGATTGGAGCAATCTTACAGTCGACCAAATGCGATATGTCATCTTGACTGCAGAGAATGAAAGCAAAGGGTTGAACTATGCAGAAGGTTCAATATCTGAAGTGAAGCGTAGTGCTCTGCTTTGCAGTGTCAATTACGGGTATCACACTGACTGGATACGAGACTTCATGCGGGAATCCGATACAACGGAGGAGATATTTGAATCGTTTGCAGAATCTTAAAGAAACTTTCAAATGAGACAGGCATTGGTGCATTCAGGGCAGTACGCATTCTTCTTTGGATTTTCATTGCATATGAAGCTGAGATTGACGTACCGGGCGAAATGCCATACGATATAGCAGGGCCAAATGTCAGACTGATGGGAAAGATGTGTCAATATGCTGGATTCACTTAAAAACAGATCTATAAACAGGTAAAGGAAGAGCTGCCGCGTATGGGACCAATCGAGTATGCAGTTTGGACGTGCAGAGTCGTTAACATCATTTTCTCTTGAACATGCAGAAACAACCAAGCTTGTGTTATCGCCCATTGAAAAAGGAAGAATTGGTTAAACCAGAAAGACGGCGAACCAAAAAGCAGAGGATTGAATAGATTACGATTGCAACATATATGATATTGTTCTCACGCAGTTTGACTTGTGCACTTGAGACTTTGCTGCTGCATTGTCAAAGCGCTTTTCATTTGTTTCTTCATTTTTTGATTTTTTTATAACAAAAGAAGCAAGATGATATTGCACCTATGTATCAGATCCTATATGCAGATGGCTGATGCCATTCCGCCAACCCTCAGAATTCTTAGAATTTGCGATGCATAGCATTTCCGAATGGAAATGGGATGCAAGAAAATATTTCAAAACATTCATTTGTTTGTTGACTTTCTGTTCATAATGAAATTATGTGGTGTTCTGTTTCGAACGTTCGAATTATGGCAAAAACGGTGTCGTTATCGGTTCTCCAATTGCGAATTATATAGCACTTCCTAACGAAATGGATAAACAAGAAAATCTTTTAAACATACTATTTGTGTCTTGTCCTTCAGTTTTTGATGAAAATGATTGATTTCCTGTTTGAAACCACAGAATAGCGGCACAAACACAATACTTCATCGATTCTCTAAGTGCGAAGTATACAGCATTTTCTGATGTTAGTTCAGCGCAATCGATAAGAACTTGGAAATCGATTGTTGTTTAGTGGGTTTCGCGATTTAATTTCAAATCCTTGCTTGGTTGTTTTATGTTTTGCGTTGTTGGTTTTTCTGCCGTGCGAGGTGCAAAAAATAGCAAAACACAGTGTGTTGGAGAGGTTTCTATACAAAGTGATAGTTTCGCCTCGGCGAAACGTTAATTGTTGACACTGGGCGGTCTGCAAAAACCAGGCCCCGCAGCGTTCCCCTCTCTTTCTCTCTCTCTCTCTCCATATTTATGTATGTATCTATATATATATATATATATATATATGTATTTGTGTGTGATTGTGTACATATATAAATATAGATATATAGACATAGAAAGAGGTGTATATATGTGTATATAAGTATGCTTAAATTTACTTATAAATAGAGAGACTTCGCGGTGCTACTCTGGAGACTCGGACCCCCGAGGACGCCGCCGGGCGGGACCGCCCCGCAGGGCGCCGAGAGGGGCAGAGCAAATTTTCGGCCGTGCCGATCCTCCGTCCTCCGTCCTTGGCCACACAGTCGGCCTGGGTTCGCGGATCGATCCTGCCAGATCAAAGGTAACTACCCTCGTGCCCTGCGTCTCCCCGCCCGTGCCCCCGCCCATTCCTATGGCAGCGTGGCCCTCGGCAGGGCCTCGTGTCCTCTCGTGCGTCCTGTCCGATCGAGGCCGGCGGTACCCCGAGGAGGTTTTAGGGTTGAGGTTCCTTGTAGTGGTTTGTCGTTTTTGAGTCCCCTCGCCGCCGCCACATATGGGTTGAGGCTCCTCGTCGCTCCTCGTTGCCACATCTGGGTTCGCCCCGACGTCCAAGCCAGGACGCGTCAGTGCAGGCCCAAGCCCGGACAGCTTGCGATTCAAAACGTCGCGCCAGAGGTTTTAACACAGTTTGTTGGGCGTTCGCCCTGATTCCAGGTACGCCCAGTGTTGGTTGATGTCCCCATCGTGTTTTGCGTCGGAGGTGCAGCCTGAACTTGAGTAGTGAGCCTGGCAAAGGGCTGAACCCGACCCCCTGCAGCTGCGCGTGGTGCAGAGGTGGCCTTCTGTTCGCACAGTACGAGCCGCGGGGCAGTGCGGACAAGGGCCTGCAGGCTCAGGCGTCGAAGAGCCCCTGTTGTGTGCAATCCGTGTGAGGGGTGCGCCGACATGGGCGGTGGGCGGCATGTGGACGCGCCGATTGGAGCCGCAGGTGGAGCTCCCTATTGGGGCACGACCCGGGCGAGGGGTTTACCAGCATGGGCGCGTGCCCCAGCATGCGAACTGTGCCACCGGGGCCACAGGCGGAAGCCCTGGTTGGGCACGGTCCGCGTGAGGGGCATGCTTACATGGGGGCGCCGCGGCAGGCGGATTTTGCAACCTGGAGCTCCATATGGGGCTCGATTCGTGTGAAGGGTTGTGCCGAAATGGTAGCGCAACTGCATGCGGACTTTGCCACTGCGGTCTCAGGTAGAGCTTCCCATTTGGGTACGATCCGCGTGATCAGTGTGCCGAAATGGGCCCGCCGCGGAATATGGTCTTTGCCATTCTGGCCGCAGCTGGAGCTCCCTATAGGGCACACTCTGCGTGAGAGGCGTGCCGAACTGAGCGCGGCGCGGCATGCGACTTTGCCACCGGGGCTGCAAGTGAAGCTCCCTTTGTGGCACGGTCAACGTGAGAGGTTGGTCGAAAAAGGCGCGCGGCGGCATGCGAACTTATCCATTGTGGCCACAGGTGGAGATCGCTCTGGGTTGCGCTCTTGGTGAGGGGTGTGCCGTAAAGGAGGCGCCGTAGCATGCGGGCATTGCGTGTGAGGCAGTAGGTGGAGCTCCCACGAGGCGCGATCCGTGTGGCAAGTGTGTGTGCGTGTGTGTGTGTGTGTGTGTATGTGTGTGAAATTGTGTGCGTGTGTGTGAAGGTGTGTGGTGTGCGTTCGTGCGTGTGTGCGTGCGTGCGTGCGTGCGTGCGCGTGCGTTTGCGAATGCGTGTGTGGGATTGCGCGCGCCGCAGGATGCGGATGTTGCCACTTGGGCCATCGTCTTAGCTTCCTATGGGGCACGGTCTTCGTGAGGGGTGCCGAAACGGGCGCGCCACGGCATGCGGGTTTTGCCACTGAGGCCGCAGGTGGAGCCTCGTAAGGGGCGCGATCCGCACGAAGTGTTCGTGTGTGTGGAACGTGCAGGGACATTTTCCGCAACGTTTTGATTATCCCAACAAAGTTCTAAAGGGCCCACCACTTATTTCAACTGTATACACACTTTCGTTCCACGAAGCGCAATATGCAGATAGGCAAGCAGCAGTCGGCCCGATAGAGCGCGCATGTTCGAATCGATATTGTGACGAACAGGGGCGGTGCCTATCTGACAAGCAGCAACGCTTCGGCCAGCTGTTTGTAAGGTTTTGCGGCCCAGGGGCCCTCTTTGAATCTCTTAAGGCCATTATGGGGCCCTGCTGAGGCTATGTCGGGACCTTCCAGAGGACAGCAAGTTATGTGACCCAGGGGATACGCGTGGGGGTAGGCACCTCCCAGGCATCCGCGTCGAGATTTTGTTCAACTCGGGGCTTCCTGTAACTCTGGACCCCTTTCCTGCGATCCGTCGGGCCCAGCAGCGGCTTCCCATCAGACGCCAAGTCGGGATCAGGAACATGTCCACCACTTGGTGGCAATCGGTGCCCAACCACAGTTCATAGATGTGTTTCAACACTTGTCCCGAAGAACCAGCCGGAAACATATACGCTGTGCGCTGTTCTGTGGTGTTTCTGCCAAGCCCCATGAGACATTGACAAAACCAGATACTGTAGTGCACATGCAAGCGGCTCCCACCGAGGCCTAGAGCATCATTTCCTTGACCCCGAAATTGTCTAGTCCGCGGGCGCCAACTGGTCCAAGACAGTCAGACGCCGGTGAGCAAACGGTGGGGTGCACGGGGAGCAAATTGGGGCACGACGGGGAAACGGAACAGAGCGCGTGGGGGGGGGAGCGAGGAGCCCGCTCAGACCATGAAAGCTGGCGCGCGGATGCCGTAGTGGAATTTGCATGCGAGCTGCGTGCGAGCAGCGGAGGCGGAGGCCAGCTTGATGTGAAAGAACTTGAAGCTTGCAGGTGGTTTCTCGCCCACACCCGCCGACTTCGACGAAGCATACAGCCGCTCAGACAAGGAGGTGAATTCGGGGATGCGCCGCAAGGGGGCCATTCAGATACAACTCTATCGAGGATGCACGCCCTCTTTCGTACATCCTGGGGTTGGGCCCCAAATTTCTGGTCCGTTCGAGAGCCCCGCGAAGTCGGGAAACAGGTGTCGACACCTCCTCTGTTAGAAGAGGGGGGCCCCGAACCACACAGCTCCCGAGGTCTGGGACTGCTCCGCTCAGGCGGGGCTCCTTCGCGTCGGTCTCGTCGGCGCCGGGCCCCGCCGCCGCGGCCGCGCTGGCCACCAGGCCCAGGGGGGGACGCTCGAACCAGAATGCCGAAGCCGATCGTAAGGAGGGTTGACGTTCCCCCAGGGTAGCCTTGCATCTTTGCCTCCTAGGTCGAACGCTCTCGATGGCACGCCCCGCTCGAAGAAGCTTCAACACGGTGCGTCCAACGCCATCTTATCCTTGCCTTCTCGGTCCATCCTTCACACTCTCGATGGCACGCCCCGCTCGAAGAAGCTTCAGCACGGTGCGTCCAAGGCCCTTGCATCCGTACCGCGCATCCTTGGTCGGCCGAGGATCCGGGCGCAGAGACCCAGAGGAGAAACAGAGAGAACACCGCCACCAAGAATCCCTCGGGGGGTAGGGGGGCGACCTCCTGGGAGGTGGTGGCACGCCTGAGCGCCACTCAGTAGCAGGCGTCACGCGTACCACCGCCCAGGGTTGGGTCTCCCCTGGATGGGTCTCGATGGCGGTGTTTTTGTGTTTCTTCTGGGAGACGCTCCAGCTTCAATAGACCCCCGAGGTCGTGTTGTTTTCGCGATGCGCGACCCCCCCGCCCCCAAACATCGCCCCAAGCATCGTCCTCCCCCTCCTCCTCCTCCTCCTCCTCCTCCTCCTCCTCCTCCTCCTCCTCCTCCTCCTCCTCCTCCTCCCTCCTCCTCCTCGGGGAGGTTAGAATTTTAATCCCGAGCCGTTTTTTGGGGGTCCTGGGGCTCGGCGAGGGCCCAGAGAGTCCAAACATCTACACATACATTGCGCCGCCAATTTGCCGTTGGGCAGCCTTCGCGGGCGCAGCCTCCTTCTTTCCCCCCGCTCCTCCTCCTCCCTCCTCCTCCTCCTCCTCCTCCTCCTCCTCCTCCTCCTCCTCCTCCTCCTCCTCCTCCTCCTCCTATAGATGCAAGGGGGTGTGGGTACCATGCCGTGAGATGCCAACGCGTCTAGACGCCGATCTGCTCCTTGGCCGACCATCCAGATGACGCGGAGGCTCTCGGCGGCGCGTATAGGGGAGGAAGGGCTCAGGAAGCTCACCAGAAAGAGAGAGGCCTCCTGAGTCTTGAGGAGGAGGAGAAGGAGGAGGAGGAGGAGGAGGAGGAGGAGGAGGGGGAGGAGGAAGAGAAGGCGGAGGAGGAGAGGAGGAGGAGAGGGAGGAGGAGGAGGAGAGGGAGGAGGAGGAGGAGGAGGAGGAGGAGGAGGAGGAGGAGGAGACGGTGCAGAAAGAGGAGGAGGAGAGGGGAGGAAGATGTGGATAAGGACCCTGAGAAAGAGCGGGAGGAGGAGGAGGAGGAGGAGGAGGAGGTGAGGAGGTGAAGGAGGTGAAGGAGGTATAGCATGAGGAGCAGGAAGAGGAGGAGGAGGAGGAGGAGGAGGAGGAGGAGGAGGAGGAGCAGGAGCAGGAGGAGGAGGAGGAGAAGGTGGAGGTGCAGGAGGTGCAGAAAGAGGAGAAGTAGGAGGCGGAAGAGGAGGAGGAGGAGGAGGAGGAGGAGGAGGAGGAGCAGGAGCAGGAGGAGGAGGAGGAGAAGGTGGAGGTGCAGGAGGTGCAGAAAGAGGAGAAGTAGGAGGCGGAAGAGGAGGAGGAGGAGGAGGAGGAGGAGGAGGAGGAGGAGGAGGACGAGACTGGACGTCAACGCGGTGCGGTCCGTCCCCCCCCGAGGACGAGGCAGGGACAGGCGGGAGGAGGGTGGACACATGGAGAAAGGAGCGCGGAGAGGGGGGTGGGGAGGCCGCGAGCGAGGCAGACAGGGGGCTGGAGGGGGAGGGGGGTGCGGGCAGGGCGTGAGCGAGGCGGGTGGGGAATGCCCCCTGCTGGGCCGCGCGATTCCCTAGCGCGGCAATGGCGTCCATCGCGGGCGGTTGCGTGAGGTCGTGTCCGGCAACCTCGTCTCGCAGGGCCAACGACCCGCTCCCCACGCGCGGGGGCGCCCCAGGGGGCCGCGGACCAGGCCCATTCGATCGCAGGGGACACGTGCAGGGCCACTCGCCCGAGCAGGATTTCCGCTGCCAGGGCTGGTTCGACTCGAGCAGGGGCCCCGCGCCCGTCATGAAGCGCAGCGCGCCCTTCGACCCCCGCGCCATGCACTGCCGAGTCATGGGCGCGAGCCTCGAGGGCGGCTTCTGGCCACGCGACGTCGCCCGCGAGCGGGGCAACGGAGAGACGGAGCGCTTGCGAGCAGGCGGGCCCGCGGGCGCGTAGCTCAAGGGCCGGCGCAACGTTTGCTCGAGTTCTCCGAGGAAGACCGCGCGAGGCTCTTCGAGGCCATGGTCGCGCGGGGGCAGGCGAGGGCCTCGGGGACAGGCTCATCGCGAGCTGGGCCATCAACTTCATCACGGAACATCACGGCCAGAGCCTCGCGTCCGCCAGCTGCCCCTCGAGCCGCTGGACCGAGGCCGTCGCGAGCGCGGCTGGATGGCCCCCGACGTCGCGAACTTGCAGTGGCCACGCGCCCACGAGATGCGCTGGGCCATGGAGCAAGACTGGGTCCAGAAGGCGAAGGCCGAGCCCGATGAGAAGTACAAGTGCCCGACCCGCTGGGGGCCCCACGAGCGCTCCTATTGCGTCACGGAGGACCGCGTCCGCTTCTGCGACGAGCACAAGGAGGCGGCGCCGCTCCAGGGGATGCAAGCGAACCAGATGTTCGCGGTCCGGCGGAGAGCAGGTCGAGCTCAGGCCCGTCGCGGGCCTTAAGCCCTGGAGCTACCCCGTCCAGCCAGGCCGCGGCGTCGAGCCGAGGCTGGCGAGCGAGCGCCTGGAGGGCGCCCAGCGCTGGCCGAAGAACGCCCCGCCAGTCCCCGACCGGAGCGTCCTCGACGGCGCGCGTTTCCGCCTCGAGGAAATCCTGTTCCCGCGTGCCCTCGAAGACCGACTGGAGGTGGCTCGCGCAACGCGACGCCAGAGCAGTTTGGCCGCCAAGTTCTTGGGCAAAGACCGGGGAATTTGCAGCGCGAGTGGCAGCGCAGGAAGGCCCAGACGCCTCGCTCGAGCACCTGGGCCGAGGTGTGGCCGCGGCGAGCCCCCCAGGCAGCGTCGCGACGGCTCAGACGAGCTGCCCCCAGATGCGCAAGCTCAAGGGCGCCGAGAGAGATGCGAAGACAAGGACGAGGCGGGGCTCCAGGCCTGCGAGGGCCCCCCCTGGCACGGCACGGTGGTCCGACTACAAGATGCGCAGGCCGTTCATGCTGGACTGGCGCAACCACCTCGGCGCACCGAGCTCGCCAAGCAATGCGCGATCATGAACTTCGAACAGATCAAGAAGGGCGACGCCCTCGACCTGGGCACGGCGCGCGCGCAGCTCGTCGAGATCGAGGAGCGCGTGGGCCTTCCCGAGACCGTTCGTGGTGCTTTCCTACCCCTTCCCGTAGTGGGACAGGCTCGCCTGACGCGGTGGTCCGTCCGTCAGGGGTGGTCGAGCCCACGTTGGCCGCCTCCTGGGCTCTAGAGGGCCAGGGCGAGGACGAGCCCGCCGCCCGGCAGCCCGAGGAGCAGAAGCGCTGGGCCGAGAGAGCCCAAAAGGCCGAGCACCTGCGGATACGAGGCACCCGCGCACTACGCCTGCCTCGCGGTGTCCACGCAGGGGGCGGGCATGGCCGTCGAGTGCCGCGACGCCCTCAAGCAGCCGTCCGAGAACGTTAAGCAGGCTGCCGCGGGGCCCCCCCGAAAGCTCGGCGCCATCGGCCCTGGCGAGGAACGCCCTGCGAGCAGCAACGAGTCGTTCCAAAAGGATAACTGGGCCTTCGGGCCCAGGGTGACGAGGTGGCTCGAGCGCGCCTCGCGCGAGATCCGAGGCGAGGGCCGCCGACCGCCCGCGGCATCAGCCAGGCGCGCGCTCGAGGAAACGAGTGGACCCACAAGCTTCAGGGCGCGAGGGGCAAGCGGTCTGCCAAGGCCATGGCCCCGGCCAGGAACATGAGCAAGGGCGAGGCCCAGCCGCCGAGAGACCCGACCGCCCCTGAGCACAAGCGCGAGACCTTCGAGGAGGCAAGCGCTGCTGCGATAGGGCGCGCGAAGTGCTTCCCGCGCATGGGCGGCCTCGAGAGACGCCGAGCCCGCGTGGGCGATTTGTCCGAGGTGGTTCGCGAAACTGGTTTTCCGGCGAGAAGCGCCCAGAACCCCCAGGGCGTGAGCAATATTTAAGTGCCAGATCTCGAGGGGCGCCGAGGACCAGCAGAGCGAGGACCTAGAAAGGTGCCCAAGATCATCCTCGTCAAAATAATCGCCATCATCCTCACCTTTGTGCTGCGTTGTCGGCGACAACGTTTATTTCCCCCCATGGACTCCGAATTTAACATCCACAGGGGTTGAATATCACAGGCCGTTGACCATATGTGAACATTTGTGCAACGTGAGCAGGAGCAGGAGCAGGAGCAGGGTGAGGAGTGGGGGCGTGAGGACGAAAATGATGATGGGGAGGAGGAGCTCGTCGTCATCGTCGCCGCCGCCGCCGTCGCCGCTGGTGTCGCCATCGTCGTCGTCTTTCTCGTCGTCATCGACGTCGCCGTCGTCGTTGTCGTCGTCGTCGACGTCGTCGTCGTCGTTGTCGTTGTCGTCGTCGTCGGCGTCGTCGTCGGATGAAGAGGGGGGGGGAGAAGGAAAGGGAGGAGGAGGATAAGGAGGAAGAGGAAGAAAAGGAAAGGGAGGAACAGGGGGAGGAGGAGGAGGAGGGGGAGGAGCAGGAGGAGGAGGAGGAGGTGACGGGGGAAGAGGACGGGCCCGAGAGGTCATCCGCCGCCGCCTCGCCGGCCTCCGGCATCCTCCGCCGCGCGCCGGCCGCCTCGCCGGCTTCGGCGCACGCCGGGCCGACGCAGGGGCCCGCTGCGGCCGTCGCGTTGGCGCTCCAGGGGGGCGGGGCGCACTTCGATTCAGGGGCACCGCCTCGCCATGGGGGAAGCAGGTCCTGACTTGGCCCCGTTCGGGCGTGTGCATTTTTTTCGGCGGTGACCAAGGAGGAGCATCTGGATTCCTCTTGTGTCAAAGTACGGGCGCGAAGTCGAAGAACGCACGGGGAACAACCGTCCGAGCGATGGCGAACTGAAGGCAACGGGTCCTCCGTTGTTTCGTTGTGTTCCGCTTCCCGGGGCCGTCCACGGGCGCTGAGGCTGCATACGAAAAGGGCTTCGGATGAAGAGCTGGTCCTGGGGGGAGGCACCAGGGTCCAGGACCCGTGTCCCTCAGAACTCGTTTCCCCCATGCTAAACCTCCCACGCATGGCCGCGTCGAGGAAACAATCGGGGCGGAGGGGTTTTGGGACTAGTGGGCCCCAGGGGCGACAACAAACTATTCAGGATGAAAATTCTGCAGCAGGGGGACCGCATCTGTTTCAACGCGCGTCTTCATGTCTTGTGGAGAGCGCTTCGGCCACCAGGACAAACTCCGCCTCGGACACAGGTCTTGCTGTGGGTTTGCCGCGGGCCCGTTCAGAACAAATGGCGCGGCGACCTGCTGTCCATCGAAGAAGAAATAAACGGATAAACATATATGTATGGAGATCCGTTTGGATTTTTGTTGGGATTGCGCTGGGGGCGCCCGTTGTGAGGCCTCCAGCGCCGCCCCTGGCGCGTTCCGCGCGCCAGCGAGGGTGTCCAGCGCTGATCCACGAAATCCGCGCACCTCAGGTGCACCACATCTGCTGTTCATTTGTTCGCTGAATCCAGGGCTTACAGATTGGGTCCGGGTTGATGGGATCGGAGGATCGCGCCGCATCGCCGATGCATCACCGAGACGGCTCGTTGTGGAGCCTGATGCTCTCCGCACCGACGTCGCCGATGCATCGGCGTTGCAGCGCGATCCCCTGATTCCATTCATGTCGAGGCACTTTGGAAAGCCTCGACTTACGGTCGGGAACCTTTGGATACCTTGCCGTCTTGCCAGTTATAGCTTTCAGTCGGGCCTGTCCCTCTACAGGGGGGAAATTTCAAAGTAGTCAGAGAATAGTCCGGGGACGATTCTTTGACAATTGTTGTCAATTCTGGTGCATGTAAGGAAAATTCACATTTGTCATCAAAAATCCCCCTGTAGGGGGACAGGCCCGACTCAGTTACAGCTCGCCGCGCTGCGAAGCGACACGTTATCCTCGACTTACGGTCGGGAACTTTTCGACACCGTGTCGCTCCGCCACTTCTGGCTCGCCGCGCTCCGACGCGACACGATATCCTCGACTTACGGTCGGGAACTTTTCGACACCGTGTCGCCCCGCCACTTCTGGCTCGCCGCGCTCCGCAGCGACACGATATCCTCGACTTACGGTCGGGAACTTTTCGATACCGTGTCGCCCCGCCACTTCTGGCTCGCCGCGCTCCGCAGCGACACGATATCCTCGACTTACGGTCGGGAACTTGTCGATACCGTGTCGCCCCGCCACTTCTGGCTCGCCGCGCTCCGCAGCGACACGATATCGGGGGACGAAGTCTATACATATCCACTGCTCCCTGGCCAGGCCCTTCCTGAACCCAGGAGCTGTGTATACGCCCTCCTGGCCAAACCAGGAGGGCGTGGCGTATACACAGCTGCTGTGTTCAGGATGAGCCTGGCCAGGGAGCAGTGGATATGTATAGATTGCGTCGCCCTGCGATATCCTCTTCCGGGCTCCCAGGCGTCAGCCTCCCGAGCCTCGCCGGGCCTCCCAGCCCCCGGGGAGCGGAGCGGCACGCTGTCCTCTCGCGTGGCACAGCCTGCCGTCGGGGCCCCATTGGCGACACGCGAAGCACAAGTCCCCGACCGTACACACTGTTCGTTTCGAAGTCTTCGAACGTTATTTGAATTTTTTTGGGCCAAGATCCTTTCATTCCAAATTGTTCTATCCTGGGCCTCTTCCTGGTCACCAGGGGGCCACGGACAATTAGAAACGAGCGCAATTAGAAATGAGCACGACTAGAAATGAACGACGTGCAACTTGTTTTCTTACGCATTGCTCGTATTAGCTACGCGCGCCTGCCACACCACTTTTTGCAGTTTTTCAGGTGTCCGCCTGGGGCGGCAGTGGCAGCATCTGCTTCGTTGTCCGCGCACGGTTGTCCGCAAAGGGAGCGTTCAGCATAGGCGTCCAGAAGGGCAGCGGCGTTATCTTCGTGGCTGTGCTCATGAAGTAAAGGAAGATTGCATCTCAGGGGCAGCGTTCGTCAGAGGAGAGCCGAGGATCAGCGGCGTATGCGACCACGGAAGGAGAACAACCGTCTGCATCACCATAAACAGTCGGAGCCCCGCGCGGATGTCTTGGATGTGCGTTGGGTCTACTCAGGCGGTGCTTCTGGCGCCGCCCCTGGCGCGCTCCGCGCACCAGGGAGGCGGGGTCCAGCACCGATCCAAGAGATCTGCGCACCTCACGGACAACTCGTCTGCTGTTTTTGAGGTGGGCATGCGTCTATTCATCGATCTCATGCTTTTTGATTTCTCTGCGCGAATCGATCTCCACTAGACCGGAGACCAGTTTTGAGCTGCCGTTGTCTCAGTTAGGCCTCCTCCGAGGAGGATTCGGCTCGTTTCGGCGGTGTCCCTACTAAAGGGGGGTGGCGCGACAGGGCCGGCTGACAGTGAGAAGGCGGCGGAGCTACTCAGAAGGTAGGGGCAAGAAGGCTGATTAGAAGCAAACATAAAGCTGATTAGAACCCGGGTGGGCTTCTGAGAAGGCCACCCTGCCTTCTTGAAGCCCCGCCGCTGTCTTAGAAAGCCGCCCCCTTCACGCCACCCCCTTGTGGGCGCTGCCCATCTCGAGGTTCGAGGTTTCTTAGCGTTTTCATTGATTCCGGGCAACCCAGTTTTTTCCCGACCCTCCCTTGGTTGGGTATTCGTTTTGGCTAGAGCAATGTGGTCTCCGCCATCCCGCCTCCCTCCACCCTCCTCATTCTACCTCCTTTCTCCTCCCCGTTTTCCCAACCCTCCCTTGGTTGGGCACTCGTTTTGAATAGAGCACTGTGGTCTCCACCTCTCCTCCTCCTCCCCCCTTTCTCCTCCTCCTGGGAGCTCAACGTCCCTGGGGGGCTGCGATGTGCGGAACTGTCGCCACTTTCGTTGTCTCTTGGGAGGTCCAGCGGAGGGGTGTTCCACGAGGACCACCATGAGACCTCGCCGTCCCTGGGGGGCTGCGGTCTGTGAAATTGTCGCCACTTTCGTGGGCTCCTGGGGGGTCCAGCGGAGGGGTGTCCCACGGGGACCACCGTGAGACCTCGCCGTCCCTGGGGGTTGCGATCTGCGAAATCGTCGCCACTTTCGTGAACTCTTGGGAGGTCCAGCAGAGGGGTGTCCGACGGGGACCACCATGAGACCTCGCCGTCCTTGGGAGGCTGCGATATGCGAAATTGATGCCACTGTCGTGGGCTCCTGGGAGGTCCAGCCGAGGGGGGCCCCACGTGGACCACCATGAGGTCTGCGATGTGCGAAATTGTCGCCACTTCGTGGGTTCCTGGGAGGTCCAGCGGAGGGGTGTCCCACGGGGACCACCATGAGACCTCGCCGTCCCTGGGGGGCTACGAACTGTGAAATTGTCGCCACTTTCGTGGGCTCCTGGGAGGTCCAGCAGAGGGGTGTCCCATGGGGACCACCAGTAGACCTTGCCGTCCCTGGGGGGCGGCGATCTGCGGATCTGTCGCCACTTTCTTGGACTCGTGGAAGGTGCAGCGGAGGGGTGTCTTATGGGGACCACCAGGAGACCTTGCCGTCATTGGGGGGCTGAGATCTGCGAAATCGTCGCCACTTTCGTGGGCTCCTGGGAGGTCCAGCCGAGGGGTGACTCACGGGGACCACCATGAGACCTCTCCGTCCCTGGAGGGCTGCGATCTTCGGAACTGTAGCCACTGTCGTGGACTCTTGGGAGGTCCAGCGGAGGGGTGTCCCACGGGAACCATGATGCCTCGCCGTCCCTGAGGGGCTGCGACCTGCGAAATTGACGCCACTTTCGTGGGCTCGTAGGAGGTCCAGCGGAGGGGTGTCCGACGGGGACCACCATGAGACCTCGCCGTCCCTGGGAGGCTGCGATGTGCGAAATTGTCGCCCCGTTCGTGGGCTCGTCGGAAGTCCCGCGGAGGGGTGTCTTATGGGGACCACCAGGAGACCTCGCCGTCCTTGGGGGGCTGAGATCTGCGAAATCGTCGCCACTTTCGTGGGCTCCTGGGAGGTCCAGCGGAGGGGTGTCCCACGGAGACCACCATGAGACCTCGCCGTCCCTGGGAGGCTACGATATGTGAAATTGTCTTCACTTTCGTGGGCTCCTGGGAGGTTCAGCGGAGGGGTGTCCCACGGGGACCACAATGAGACCTCGCCGCCCCTGGGGGGCTGCGATCTGCGATGTTGTCGCCACTTTCGTGGGCTCCTGTGAGGCCCTGTGGAGCTTCGACTTACGCAGATCATCATGAGACCCCGCCGTTTCTCTGGGGGGCTGGATTGCGACGTTGGGGGGTCCAGCGGCGCTGCTCCCACGAATTTTGTCTCTAATCGCCATTCCTTATTGTGTTTCCACGCTCCCTCGTGGCCGCCTTCTACCGACGATCTGACTCTCAAGAGCGACGCCGCATATGTGAACATGTGACTCTGGCCCGACGTTCTTTGGCGAATCGTTCAAGTGCATGGCGGATCCTTCAGTGCTCGCTGTTGTATTGAGCGGTCCGATGTGTAGTCGCCTCATGTGTACAAAGGGTTGGGTACGTCCCAGGATAGTTTTTCCAATTGGCGCGGGCCCCCTCCCCCATCCCACTCCAATAAACCAGATCTTGGCTGCTTTTGGCGGCTGCCTTTGGCGCCTGGTCAGGACCCCTCCCCCAATCTGCGTGCGAGACTGGTATAGAAGCATATCGACTAAGCACCGGCCCAGACCCAAACCCCCCACTCCCCTCCCCCACCCTTCGGCAAAATGACGACACCCAGGATAAAAGGACGCCGATGAGAGTTGTACACCCAGACACGTTCCCGTCGTGGCAGACATCACGACGAGAGGTCTTTGCTACCGTGTTTTCGGCCTCTGGGGGCCCTCGCCAGGCCCCAGAACCGTACAACAACGATTCAGGATCAAAAGCTGGCCCTGGGCAAAGGGCGGAACTTCGTGGGACCCCGCTCCGAACAAATCAAGACATCGGACCTCCGGGCATGCTCAGGAGGGATGCATCGACCTCCCAAGTCGCTCACTCATCGCCTGCACGATCGTGCGGCTGCGCCGTCGGGGGCCAATCGCCGACCCATCGGGGATGTGCCATCGATTCGAGGTCGACGCTCCCCCCCGCGCTCGAGCCAATCCCCCGAGGGCGGATCTCGGACGATGCGGATGTTCCAGGCACGGTGCTCGTTCCACTCACGTCGTCCGTCGGGGAACGTCGTCGGGCCCCGGGGACCATCCAGTTGGGACCGGGGCGGCAAGGTGGCTCTACGCGCATGGGGTCCGAAAGTGTAGGGCCGCGGCCGGACACAGACAGACAAGGGCTCCCCCGAGGGCGCGAAGTTATTCGCGCTTCGCGCTTCGCGGTCCTCGTTCCTTCTCCCCCTCCTCCTCGTCCTCCTCTTCTCCCTTTGGGAGAGCGGCGCGAGAGCGCGAAGTTATTCGCGCTTCGCGCTTCGCGCAGCGCGAAGCGCGAAGTTGGGAGCCCTAGGACAGACGAGAGAATGCATGGGAAGAGCATGAGCTGCGCAGATGCACGGGGTCGTCTGCGCCGACACTGGCGCGCAAGCTGCCCGCGTAAGGCCGCGCGCGGGCCTCTTCCACGCGGTGTGCCACGGGCCAGATCCGCGTCGGAGATGATGATGATGTCGTTGATGATGCTGATGTTGATGATGATGGTGATGGTGGTGATGATGAGCAGGTGGAGGAGAAGGAGGAGGAGGAGGAGGATGAGGAGGACGATGAGGAGGAGGATGAGGGTGAGGATGATGATAGTGATGATGATGATGATGATGATGAGGAGGAGGAGGAGGAGGAGGAGGAGGAGGAGGAGGAGGAGCGCAGACCCTGATCAGGCCGCAGACCATCGGGGAGGAGCGGCATCGGCATGTCTGTGGCGCTCCTCCCCAGGGGTGCCCCCCTTGGCCACGGCCGGATCCGCCTCGGCTCCCCGGACAGCCAGGGCGCAGGGGAGCAGCGCCCATTCGCGGCATCCCCCGGTCGATCCCCAGGCGCCCCCCGCGACGCAGACCTTCCTCGCCGCCGTCGACCAGCTGCCCTCGGACGCGCCCTCGGGCGGTGCCGAGCCGACGCTGCGCGGGCACATCCGCTGGGAGGCCTGGGGCGGCGGCTCGTGCGCCCGAGGGCGGGGGCCCCCGGAGGCCCGCTGCGGAGGGGCGCCGAAGGGGCCCCCCTGCGAAGGGGCTCTACCGTCGGGGGCGGCCAGAAGGGGGGTGATGTGACCTGGAGGGGGGGACACCCTGGCGTGGGCCACAATCTTACCGCAGGGCGTGGGCACCCTGGCGTGGGGACATCCTGGCGTGGGGGCATCCTGGCGTGGGCCACAATAGTTCCGCCGGTTTCATGGCGTCTCGCGCCGAGGGGCCCGCGGAGGCCCGCTGCGAAGGGGCCCGCGGCGGCCCGCGGAGGCCCGCTGCCCACGCCAGTCGGGCAAACTCGCCGGGGCGCGTGCTGGGGCGCGCTCCTCCCCCGCCTCTCCTCCCCTCCCCCTCCTCGCCACAGGGCTTCTTCGCGCTTGTGAAAAGTGTAAGGCCCACGCTTCCGGGCGGGTCCCCTCGGCCCTGCCAGGACCCTGTGGCCAGAGCCCCGAAGCACTAGGACTGGGGGCGGTCAGGGATGTGTGCAGATTCGCGCCTCGGGGGCCCAAACCGGAGCTACCCTGGACTGCAGATAGGGGGCCACGTGCGAGCCCTACCCCATACCCCCCCTCAGAAATCGTGCTGGGTAGGGGTAGGGTTCGCAAGTGGCCCCCTAGCAGAGATCCCGGATGACTCGGATGTCCCACCCTCCCAAAACGTCAGGGTTGGGGGCAGGCAGGGGTCACTGTAGATTCGCGCCTCGGGTGCCAAAACTGAAGTTATCTTGGACCGCAGTGATCCCGGCGAACTCGGGCGTCCAAGGTGTGTATGTGTGTGTACGCCGTCCTGGCCGTCTTGGCTAAGACTGAAGCAGTGACGAGGCGTCCATAGCTCGCCTAGGTCTTAGGAGCCCACCAAAGGACGTTCTGAGAACCTTTGTGTGGTTTGCGCGGAATGTGCTCAGATCAGTTATTGCGGAGCTCGTTTTGTTTTAATGCAGCGGCGTTATGTTTAAAGGACTAGGTTATTCTTAGAACATTCCTTTCTTCTAAGAGTACTTCGCTGTAGGCCTATACGAAAGTGGTAACGGTCGGACCCTGCTCAAAAGGTTGGGGGGGGGGGAATGCTTCTCGGCTCAGCATGGGCTCAGGGTGGGTCTAGCTTGGAGCAGGCTGGGGGTCTGAGGTGTTCCTGCACTGGTCCCAGCCAGCAGTAAGGGTGGGCGAGTTCGAAGTTCTGGTTTGTGGAAGGTGGTTTGCCTTTTCGGTCTCCGCGGGCCCGGTTTCGGGCCCCATGCACCATCACTAACTGATCTTGGGAGGGCTTCGGGGACAGATTTGAGCGGGCTGACCTTCTTCCCCCCCCCCTTGACAGACCTTTTCGGGGCCCAACCAGCCCAGACCCCCCCGCCGCCTCCAAGGGGTGGGTGCGTCTCGACCGATCCTGGGCTCAGGATGGTGAGCATCGTCTCACCGACCCCCACTCCCCATCTCCATCCCCATCCAGACCCCCGCCATCTCGGCACCCCAGCTGGGGATAGACCTCTCGAGACCCGCGGGAAGCAGCCTGTACCCCCATATGGGGCGGAGGAGGTGGAGAAGGAGAAGGAGGAGAAGACGAGGAGGAGGAGGGGGAGGAGGAGGAGGATGAGGAGGAGGAGGAGGCAGAGGAGGAGGATGAGGAGGAGGAGGAGGAGGAGGAGGAGGAGGAGGAGGAGGAGGAGGAGGAGGAGGAGGAGGAGGAGGAGGAGGAGAGGAGCGGGCAGACGATGCCCACCCGGGGGGGAGGCTGCGCCTCGACCGCTCACGGGCTCGGGCTGGGTCCCGCCGGTCTCGAGGTGCAGATGGACCTCGGCGTCGCGCGCGCGGGGGCGTGGCGAGAGGGGCAGTGGGTTTCTGAGAGGCCCTCCTCCTCCTGCTCCTCCTCCTCCTCCTCCTCATTCTCCTGCTCCTGCTCCTCTTCTCTCTTCCTCCTCCTCCTCCTACTCTCTCCTCCTCCTCCTCCTCCTCCCTCCTCCTCCTCCCTCCTCCTCCTCCTCCTCCTCCTCCTCCTCCTCTCCTCCTCCTCCTCCTCCTCCTCCTCCTCCTCCCAGCTTCTCAGAATCCTTCGTAGAGGCCATGGGGCCCTTCTGAGAAAGCACCTCGTCTTAGGAATAGGAGGCCATATCGCTACCCGTGCCTCTTTGGACCTCCTGGGAGGCCCTCGCCACCACTGCTGCATTCGTTTCGACTTGCTGGTCAGAACGCACCCCGGAAGAGGTCTGGGGCACAGCAGTATCGGTACTTCTGGGTTTCCCAAGTGCCTTCCTTCTAAGAAGCCCCCGCCGTCTTCGACTGACGCCCACCTCGCGCCACCCACTGTGCGCGCCGCCAAACGTGGGCGGTTGGTGTCCTCCTATCTCTGGAGGGGGGCTCGGCCTGAGGCCTTCCAACACTCGGCGTTGATGAAATCGGGCGGCGCTGAGGGGCCCGAGAAATGCTCGGTAGCCTCGACCCCATTAGAAAGTTGCTTCCAGAGGTTCTTCGAGATCTGCGGGCATCTTCGCAGGCCTCTCGGTGATCTCCCGTTCAGTGTGTACTCACAGTTGTTTGTCCGGAATCGCACCATCGCGCGGGAATCCCTCACACGTGGCTCAGGCACCGCGCCGCGCTCAGGAATTGCGCACTCGCACGACACATCCTTACAGTTTACCCAGGACTCGTGCTCTCGCCTGAGGCTTCTTTGCAATTTGCATAGTTCGCTTCTATGCTCCGCCCGCCCGACCAGCCCGTGAGGACCCGCCCGCCCGACCTGCCCGTCAGGGTCCACCCGCGTGCTTGGAAGCCCTGCCGCCCGCTTGACCGCCTGCTAAGCATGTTGTCGTTCTCTCGTCTCCCCTCTCTGCTGAATCTCCTTCAGCCCTAATCCGCCTCTCTTTCTCTATATTTCTCCCCCTTCTCGTGTCCTCCTCCTTTCCTCGTTCTCTCCCTTGTCTTGTTCCCCCTTCGTCGTCCTCATCCTCAATGTACTTCTAGAGCCACGCCAACTTCACCTGGCAGGCAATGATGATCGATCCATAAAGTGGGTAGGATCGAAGACGAAGATGGCGGGTATCGAGGGTTGGGGTATACATGTCGCATCACGCGCGGGCAGCGAAACATCGAACAGTCTTAAAATGAGACGTGCTGTCGCTGTTCTTAGTATTGTCGTCGTCGGTGGGGGTGGGTCGCGGCGAGGGCGCGTGGGTCGCGGCGCGTGTGGGTCGCGGCGCGTGTGGGTCGCGACCCACCCACGCCGAGACACATTTGATACACCGCAATTGCGGGGAACTCGAGATCTGTTTCCGTCTCTGTCTCTGTCGCTGTCTCTGTCTCTCTCTGTCTCTCTCTCTCTCTCTCTCTCTTCCTCTTTCTATATCTCTCTCTTTCTCCATCTGTCTCTCTCCCTCTCTCATTCCCTCGCCCTCTTCCACTCTTTACATACATATCATATATATATATATATATATATAGATTCCTCTTCCACTCCTCTCGTATCTTCCTCTTCCTCTATTTGATCTTCTCGTGCATTACTCTCTCGCCCTCTGCCACTCTTCTCCCTATGTGTCTTCCCTCTCTCATTCTCTCCCCTCTTCCACTCTTCCCATCTATTCCTATTCCTATATTTTTATAGGCCCGGGCGGGGGGACCCCCCCCGCCCCGCCCAAAACCGAGCTCCCGGGGTCTGGGGCTTTGGGATCCTCCGGACGGGCCTCGAAGCGGCCCCCCGGGCCTCGCAGGGCGTTTTGCCAAGCCTTCCCACTTCCCAGAGACCCCCAGGACAGCACGAGAGCGCTCCAAGAGTTACCGACGTGATCTCAAGATGGCCCAAGATGCCTCCAGGACGGCCCCAAAGAGGCCTCCAAGAGCACTGCCAAGAAGGCCCCAAGAGGCAAACATCAGGGAATTTCCCATGGTTTTTGTGAATTTTGGGGTTCTCCTCTTTTCGGCTTCCCGACTCTTCAAGACGGCGGTCTTCTGGGCGTCCGAAGCCGCCTGGGAGGCTCGAACATCGCCCCACAACCATCCGAAAAGGGCTTCCAGGCAGTTCAAGAGAGCCCCCAAACGGCACAACACGGGTCCAAGATGGCCCTCGGGGAGCTCCATGGCGGCCCAAGATGGCCCGGCCCCAAGACACCCTCCGAAGCGTTCCAAATCGTGACCCGGTCGTTCAGGGAGACCGCGGTCGGAGGCAGGGTGGCCCGAGGAAGCCCCCAGAGGCACCCAGAATACGCCCAGGAGGCCTCCAGAAGGCTTTACGTAAGAAAGCCTGAGGCAACTTTTGTGAGGCCCCCAGAGGCTCTCCAAGGAGCCTCCGCAAAAAAGAGCTGGGGAGGATGGGGAGACTGCGCAGGGCATGGCAAACATGACGAAAAAGAAGCATGGAGGACGTGCCATGGCTCTTGCACAGAAGGGAGGGGGAAGGAGGAGGAGGTGAAGGAGGATGACGGGAGAGGGATATAGGGTGCGAGAAATCAATCGGAGAAGGAGAGCCCAACGAGGGCCGCAAGATGGGCTTGACAGGGCGAGCTCGAGTAGGCTCCACGGCCCCCCCCCCCCCCGCGAGATGGCCCCAAGACTTTCAACATGCTCCCAGGAGGCCTCCAACAAGCACTCAAAAAGTCTGCAGAGGATCCGAAGAACACCCCAGGGGCCCGAAACGGAGGCGGAGGGGGCACGCGGCGGGCGGGGGTTCCACTGGGCGCTGGGGAACGCTGGGGTGGAATGGGGGGGGATGGGGGGCGGGGACGGGGCGCGCCGTGCGACGCAAAATAAAATGGTCAGGGCGGAGGAGCGCACTGGGCGGAAGTTCCACTGGGCCGCTGGGGAACGCTGAAGAGAGAAGGGATGCGACGTGGAATACAATTGTCGGAGCGGGGGAGGCATTGGGCGGTGGTTCCACTGGGCCGCTGGGCAACGCTGGGGCGGGGGGGGGGGGGGGGGGCGGGGAAGGGAGGGGGGGTGCGGCGGGGCGGGGCGCGAAGTGACGTGGAATATCACGGTGTGGGTGGAGGGGTAGGGGCATTGGGGCGGAGGTTCCACTGGGCCGCTGGGGAACGCTGAAGAGAGAAGGGATGGGGGGCGGGGAGGAGGGGCGCGGTACGACGCGAAATGCAATTACAGGTGCGGAGGAAGCATTGGGCGGTGGTTCCGCTGGGCCGCAGGGGGACGCTGGGGCGGTGGGGAGGGTGGCGGGGGAAGGGGGGGGGGTGCGGCGGGGCGGGGCGCGAAGTGACGTGGAATAACATGGTCGGGGTGGAGGGGTGGGGGCATTGGGCGGAGGTTCCGTTGGGCCGCTGAACGCTGGAGTGGGGGGCGTGGGAAGGGAGGGGTGGGGAATGCGGGGAAAGGTGCGGCGGGACGCTGAGAAGGGGTGGGACAGCAGGGGGGGCGGCGGGGAGGGGGAGGGCGCGGTGCGACGAGGAATAAATGGTCGGGGCGGAACGTGCACTGGACAAAGGTTCCACTGGGCCGCTGGGGAACGCTGGGGAAGGTAGGACGGGGGCGGGGACGGGGGGGGGGCGCGGTGCGACGCTGAATAAAATGGTCGGGGCGGAGGGGGCGCTTGGCGGAAGTTCCACTGGGCCACTGGGGGACGTTGGGAACGGGCAGGAGGGGGGCGGTAATAGGGGGGGGCGCGGTGCGACGAGGAATAGAATTGGCGGGGCGGAGGGGGCACTGGGCGAAGGTTTCACTGGGCCGCTGGAGAACGGCGACGGTGGGAAGGGGTAGGGGGGGCGGGGAGGAGGGGGCGTGCGGTGCGACGCTGAATAAAATGGTCGGGGCGGAGGGGGCATTGGGTGGAGGTTCCATTGGGCCGCTGGGGAACGCTGGGGAGAGGTAGGAGAGACGCGGGGAGGTGGGGGTGCGGTGCGACGCGGAACAAAATGGTTGGAACTATAGACACCCCGTGCAAGATATTAACATTATCATAGCGGCGATGCCGGAGACGGGAACACGGAGTTATCGCTAACTTGTCGGCTTGACCTTCCTGCTATTCCGCCTGCATACAAAACTTCAAGGACCAAGGCGCATTGCGCGAAGTGCCAGTGCAGTCTTGTATAAATATATATATATATATACATACACATATAAATGTGTATTATATATGTATTGGATGTGCCTCCCTCTCTCTATACATACGTATCGTTCCCACCACCATCTCTCTCTCTGTCTCTCGTTATTTCTCTCTCTCTGGATCTCTTTATCTCGGTCTCTCTTGCTCTCTCTCTCTCTCACTGTTTCTCTCTCGCGTTCCGTCCCTTCTCCCTCTGTCACTCTCGAGCTACACACATGTTTACACATATATCAATATGTACGGGTCTACTAAATATATATATATATATATATATACATACACAGACACATCAGCAGATGGCGCTCTCGCTTCTTTATGTGTTCTCTCTCTGTCTCTCCCTTTTTCTGGCGCTCTCTCTCTCCCTCCCTCTCTCTCTCTTTCCCTTTCCTTGTTTTATCTCTTTATTTTCTCTCTCTCTCTCTCTTTCTCGCTTCCCCTCTCTATGTATATATAATGGCCTTCGGCCTATCCCGCCAACGTGTCTGGGTTGTGGTTCAGAGTTCTCGAATCTTCTTCGGGTCTCTTCGGGGCGCTCTGGGGGGCCTCTTGGGAGCAGGTTTGGGGCCTCTTTGGGGCCTCGTCTTGGAGCGATTTTGGGGGCCCCTCAAGGGCCGTCTTGGAGCGCCGGAAAAACGAAAAGAGGAGAAGGCCAAAACCTCCAAACACCAAAGACAATCAATGACTTTTCCGCCTTTGGGAACACTATTGGGACACCCTTGGACCTTCTCGGAGGCATCTTCGGCCCTCTTGGGCGCTTTTGGGGGGCCATGTTTGGCCGGCTGCGCTGCTGGAGGACGCGCGCGACACTCTGCTGGAGGACGCGCGCGACAGTCTTGGGAAATGCCCCGGTACCCCAGGAAATTCCAGGAAGTCCATGGAAATCGTTGGAAATCTTCGGGGATCCTTGTGAAACGGATCTCCCAGGCCCTTAAACCGTCAAAAACCTTGGAACTCTGAATTTCTCAGGGCTGCATGAGCCTTGGGGGAGTCCGCTGTGTACAAGCATGCTGGCCTACTGCCTTCCCAAAGCGGGCGCTGAGACCGCCAGCAGGCCTCCACGAGGCCCCGATAGGCCCCAGAGAGGCATCAGAGGGCTCCGAAACAGCCCCTAAGTGACCCCATCAAGCCTCCTGACAGGCCCCAGTAGTTCTGACCTCGAAGCTCACAAACGACCACGCGCCATAACAGTCCAAACCCGATCATAGACCGAGTCGAGGAGCCAGTGTACGGCGAAGATCAGAAAGTCAGCATACGTAGTTATACATACAGTTACAGTTGTATCCGTATGTATGTATGTGTGCACATATATATATATATGTATATATATCTGATCCAGTTTGTTGTTTCTCTCTCTCTCTCTCTCTTCCTCTCTATCTCCCTCTCTCTCTTTCTCTCCCTCTTACGCTTCCTCTGCGCAGATCCTCCTGCTCTCCTCGGCTTCCCATCCTCTCTATGCCCTCCCCCCCGCTGTCCTCTTCTTCCTTCCGGGCTTACCCATGTATTGGCCATTTGGGCTGGCGCCTGGGACCCTGGGGCGCTGGTCGACCCAAGCCTCCCAGACGTCCCTGGCATCACGCTGGCGCAGCTGACCGCGGCGTTCATGCGGAACGAGGACTGGCCTGTCGCGAGGCCTGGCCCACATAAAGTTGGCGGTTGCCCAGGGGTGGTTTCAAGCTTGGGGCCAGGGTTGGCGCAGCGCTGGCTCGGGCGACGAGCCGTTCTCCATCGGGGCCAGGGAGGGAGGGGGGGCGCGGGGGAATCAGACGGGAGGGGTAGAGCGAATGGGGGTGGTGGGGTGTTGGGCTTGTTTCCCACCACCACCACCAGAAGTAGGAAGGGGAGGGGCTCCTCCTCCTCCTCCTCCTCCTCCTCCTCCTTATCCTCCTCATCCTTCCCCTACTTCGCCCCTCCAACTTGTGGTGGTGGTGGTGGAAAACATGCTCATCAGGGGTGTTGCTTGATGTGATGCGCATGTCGTCGTGACCCTCTTCACAGCAGTCACGGCCAACTTGGAACCGACCTGCTAGCAGGTGCCCCGGTGATGTCTCTCATCTCCCTAGGGCCCCCCCTGGAGCCACATAAGCCTCGAGACACACCTGGGCCTTCAAAAATTGATTTATACTTTTAGGCTTGCTGTCGCATGTTCCCAATCCCGCTTTGATTTTGGGGTTCACTTTTTTTGTGAAGAACTGGTGGGTGCGGTCGCCAGTTTGCGCTTGGGGTCCCTGGGGGTCCTTGGTCTCGTTTGCTTGCAAGGGGGGTCCCCGGGCATCTTTGGTGTTGATTCCTTACTGTGGTTGATGATGTTTTCCTCGGGCCCCCCGTGTCCTTACTGTCTTTGAATAGGCTTTCCCCAGGTTCCTCGGGTTCCTTTTGCTTGTTCCCTTCTTGTTTTTATGAGGCCTTCCTCAAGTTCTGGGTTCCTTGGTGTTGTTTCCTCATTCTTTTTGGAGCCACTTTCCTTCCTTCGACTCCTGGGTTCATTGGCCTTGTTTCTGCCAAGCAGCGCATTGCCGCTTAGGAGACGTTCTCCTGATTTGCGTCGCGCCTGTTCCATGTTTGCTTGGAAGGGAAGCAGGGGGAGGTGAGGTGGTGCGGGCAGTGAGGTGCATGTCGCCTCACTGCCTCGGGGCGCGTCAGGATGGAGCAGACCCACGTCTGCCCAGTCCTCTCCGCCTGACGGCGGCAACACAGAGCCTGTTGCTGTTTTGGAAGCGTGGCCGTTTCCTCGCGTGCTACCGGGCCCCCACACAGGGCCAACATGGGGTATTGGATGTCGTCGTCAGGCTCGGGGCGTGAGCGAAGGAAAGATGGCGATGATGAGGGTGGGTGTCGACTACACACACGTAAGAGTGACCCTTCGCCAGAGTGACCAGACCTACAGGCGTCCCCCGACCGCCGAGCGTGGTGCGATAGTAGCGTCTTGCGCGCTTGTGTTTGGTCTTCCCGCCGCCATTCAAAAAACCGCGCACCAAAGGTCATTCTGACCCAGTGTCACTCCTGTGTGTAGCCGGGGGGGGGGTCTGCGACAGGGGGCTGCCAGGCCGCTGGAAGCGACAGGACGGTCAGGGACTAGCTTATTTCCATCCTCCTGATCGGGGCGTCTGGCGCCGCCGATCGGACGTGTTCGCCGGGCTCTGGGCCGAGGGCGATGAAGTGAGAAAGGAGCCCAGATGAGCCCAGGCCTCCCGACGCATTGGCGGTGCAGCGCGACTCTCCAACCCCATCTCCTTCAGCTCCATATGGGCGACCTCCAGAAGGAAAGGGTGGGGGAGAGGGGGCGGGACGCCAGAAGCGATGGAAAAACAGCCAAGTCTGCTACAGTCGGCCCAGATTGGTAGGTCGACCCTGCCAAATCAAGGGTACCCTTGCGTCCTGTGTCTCGTGACCCATACCTTCTACATTCCAATGGCAACGTGGCCCTCGGAAGGGTCTTGAGTCCTCTCGCGTGTCCTCTCCAATCAATCCCGACTGTAACCTCGGCCTGTCTGCCCTTGGGCCGCGTCCGCTGGCAGGTTCAACACGGAGGTGCTGAAAGCCAAGGACATGAGGGCCTCGCCTTGGTCCGAGGGCCGCCGTGTGCCGGGCTCGCTGGTGCGCAGGCTCGCGGGGTGCGCAGATCTAGCAGTGGCGAAGCGTCCTGGCCCCCCTATAGCCCTACCAAACAATGTGCTAACAATCTTTTGCGGTTTCCACAACATGTTCTTAGAACATTTCTGACGGAGTCTGTCTTGTGCTTGTTCACATTGGGCTTATGTTCTAAGAGCATTGTATTTGTTCCTAGAACATTTGTGGGTTCTAAAAACGTTTCGTGGTAGGACTATAGGAATGCCAGGACAGTCGGTCCCTGCTCAAGCACATGATTGGGATGTTCAGAGTCTGACTGCAACTCTATGTATTGCCCGCTCTCCCTCTCATTGAAGAAGAAGAAGGAAGAATCACAACTGCATAGAAACATAACTGTCGGAGGTCCTCGCTGACTTACTGGATCGTCGCTGGGCTTCGATGGGAGCACCTTCGGCGCCGCCCCTTGCGCACTCCTCGAGCCGGAGAGTAGGTTCAAGCACAGAGTTAAGACATGTGTGCGGGCCTCCCAATGTTTACGTAACACCCCGCAGTTGCGGATAAGAGTGAGGGGGCTGCGAGGACGTCCTCAGTTTGCGAGGCTCTGGATAAGCCCGCCGCAGGCGCCTAACTTTTATTATGCATTGAGCCCGCCGCAGGCGCCGATTTTTTCGTTCAAGCATTGTGGGGTCGCGGGGTGGGTCGCGGGTGGGTCGCGGGTGGGTCGCTGGCCGGGTCGCGGGTTGGTTGCGGGTGGGTCGCGCATGGGTCGCGGGTGTGTCGCGGGTGGGTCGCGGGGTGGGTCGTGGGTGGGTCGCCGGGTGGGTCGCGGGGTGGGTCGCGGTGTGGGTCAAGGGATGGGTCAAGGGGTGGGTCAAGGGGTGGGTCGCAGGGTGGGTCGCGGGACGGGTCGCGGGTGGGTCGCAGGGTGGGTCGCAGGGTGGGTCGAGGGTGGGTCGCGGCAGCGTCACGGGTTGGGTCGCGGGTGGGTCGCGGGTGGGTCGCGGGTGGGTCGCAGGGTGGGTCGCAGGGTGGGTCGAGGGTGGGTCGCGGCAGCGTCACGGGTTGGGTCGCGGGTGGGTCGCGGGTGGGTCGCGGGTTGGGTCTCGGGGTGGGTCACGGGGTGGGTCGCGGGGTGGGTCGCGGGGTGGGTCGCGGGGTGGGTCGCGGGGGGGGCGCAGGGGGGACGACGACAAACAACAACAACGCAACAAGCGAAATCCTCACCACGGATCCTCACTAGAGCCACGCACCCAGGGACAATGAATGACCGTTCGGCCCTCTCACTCTGATGTTTATGCCGCTTTTTGTGAATCGAAATAAATTATCCCCTCTCCTTCTCATGCCCCCTCCCTTACCCCGTTCCTCTTAGGTATCTTTTCTTGCCCATCCTTGACCGTCCCCCTCCCTAACCCCCTTCCTCTTCATTCCCATCTCATGCCCCATCCCTTACCGCCTTTGTACCTTCTCATGCCCCATCCCTTACCACCGGCTCCCTCATGTCCCCGCCGCTACCCAACCAGAGGCTTGGAGATGGGCAGGCTGCGGGATCGGTGGAGCGCTTGGGGCCGCTTTCGCGCAGCGCTCCTGGACAAGTAAGCTGCACTGAGCTTTCTGGGTCCCTCTGAGAAGTGTTCTCCCTGGTCTGGTTGCACACCGCCCCCACTTACGGCACTTTGCCTGACACGGGAAGGGGGACCAAAACGGTGTTTTGTCTATTTCGTGGGCCATTTTCGCTTCGATGTCGTTTTGCAGCAAAGGCGAATTCAAGACAAAACGAGGAAAGACGAAAACAACACGACAATCAAAAACACCGTTTAGGTCCAGCCCGGTTCTGCACACCGAGGTCGATGCACGTACCTGGGCGTGCGGTCGTGAAGCGATTGAGGCACAGATTCTAGTCTGATCTCTCCGCGCTTCGCTCTGACCCGGGGTCGAATGTTTCGGATGCAACTTCTGGGAGGTCAAATTCTGATTTTGCCCTGGTTCGAAATCCGGCTTGATCCAGCTTAATCCCGTTTAATCCGGCTTGATCCGGCTTGATCCCGCTTAATCCCGCTTAATCCGAGGCCCACTCCGGCGTAACAGCCCCCCCAATGGGGCTTGATCCTCTTTACTTCTTCCGACGAAAACGTCCACGTAGTTGCCTCCTAAGAACGTCGGGTGGCTGCGCTCTCTCACGCTACTCTCTTCTCCAAGCAAGAGCTTCATATCCAGATCACTCTTGTGAACACGCGCGGCACACATCCGCGCAAGGTTGAGGCTTGACGGCACCAGCCAGCGCCGAGCGCGGACTCGGATCCTGAAGCGGCATCTGCAAGCGGACGATAATTAGCCTCCGGCTGGGGAAGACTCCACCTGCAGTCTTCAGGCTCTTCATCGGCTTACGAACGTGAGCGATTCACGCCGAGATGCCCGACCCGAGACAGCTGGCCAGGAGCCGGCGCCCTGTGTCCGAGCATCCGCCGAGTGAGGCTGACTCGCAACACGGGCCCCAGACGCTTGAGGGACTCGACCCTGCCATTGCTGCGGGGCCGTTCAGCTCTCTACGCTCTCGGTTGAAAATCGTTGCTTCCGCGTCATTCGCAAGACGGCCCCATATATCAGGAGGGGAAAAAACACACAGACACAATTAATCGGCGATTCCCAGAACATATGGGAAAATATGGGAAGTGGGGGGGAAGACACAAACCCAGAAAATATGGGAAAATATGGGGGATATTTTTATGTGTGTGTATTTATTTGTGTGTCCCAGTTCCCCGTCAATATAGTTGGCACATCACTGAAGCCGGGCAGCTGGTCTCGAGGCCCACGCTGCGGCAGGGCGTCCCCGACCCAGCCCGCCAGCACGCCCTGTCAGGAGGCAGCGAACTGGGAGGAGGAGGAGGAGGAGGAGGAGGAGGAGGAGGAGCTGTCCGCAAATACCTCGTCCAGATCAGACGATGTCAGCAACGGCGACGAGATAATGATCTGGCAGTCCAGGGGCTGCAGATGGCCCCCTCGTCAGGCTGCCAAGACTTCCACGGTGGGACATGTTTTGCTCACCCAGACTGGCCAACGCACTTTTGGGCGGAAGCCTGCCCGAGTTGGGCAGGGCGGCTCAAATGATCCCTTCGCTGGTCTGGTGCTCACAGGGTCGGCACAGAGCAGCGTTAGGAATGTGTAGTCGAAGTTGACGACTTGCTGACCCACACGAATACAACGCGATGTCTAAAAATACGTGTTTGCCCATGGCCACTTCGTACAGTGTCCCCCTGGTCACCTGCCTTCCCTGGTCGTGAGACCAGGGCTGCGGCATTTTCCGCCTCAGCGCACCTCTGCAAACCACAGCAAGCCGGACCCCCACGGCAGGTCAGTGTTCATCTTTGCGTCTTCGCCCGGAATCGGCCGTCGATTGAAGGTCTGTTTGGCTCAGGGCGTTTCAGAGAAGGAACAGGCCAGCGACCTGGAGAGCCTTCATTGCCACGGCTTGATTATCGTCAAATTCTATTCAGGATGCATCCCACGAGAGTCCTGGGGAGTAACTGTATCGGTGCTGTATTTATTTCTCCCCCGAGTTGTCGGTAGGGTGGTTGTCGGAGCAGGTTCGCCCTACCAGGCACATCAGAGATAAGACATGTTGAGCTCTTTGTCAGGCAGATGCTGATTTTCATCGGGCTCGCCCTCTCCACGCGACGCAGGTGGTGACCCTTTGGGATCCACGCCGCCAGTTGCCTACGTCTCCGGACGATCGGCGCTCTCATCGCTGTCAATAACATCAACGTTGTGATGCAGAACCCCACTTGAGGGAAGCAAGCCGGGCCGCGAAGGCCACATATTGCGCCGCTGTCCAGAGCAGCGTTGCAACGAGATCCATTTGTGGGCGCTCCTGCTGCCGCATGATCGGTTTCTTTCCAGAGCGCCTCCCAGGCTCATCAGGGGCCCCTGGGCGGGTTCTCCGCCCGGCTCCGGGAAGAGTGTGAGAAGAGGGCGACCGCCAGGGTTTGTCTAGTGCTGGCTGAACGCACTATGAACGCAGTCACCCTGGGCTTGGGTGAGTTCCACACTTCGCCCAGGATCGCGTGCCATCCGCAGCGAGAAGAAAACGCCCGGGCCCCGCCCACGCGACGAACACGGACAGATCGCAGTCGTTGTCCCTCCCTGTTGGCTTCCTCCTTGGGACGAGGGCGGGGGGGAGGAGAGGAGAGGGTGGGTGGGGGCTGAATCTGTGGACTCCAGACGCGTCTTCTGCAGATACTGGGGAGGGGGGAGGGGCGTCACCATAGGAACGTTGTGGGGGAGAGCTGGCACGGGGGCGTGTGGCAGGGTGAGGCAGGGCTGCGGGAGGGGTAGATGGCAGCGGAGGTGCACGGGGGAGCAGGGGATAGGGCGGGGAACACTGGGCATTTGGGAAGAGAAAAGGGACGTGCTTCTGTGTGTTTTTCTCTTCCCCTCCCGCCCCCAGTGACATTAACCTCTGCGCTGCCTCCAGCCCGCTCCCAGGCCGGCGTCGCCTCGCTGAATAGGAGGCGCTCCTCCTCCGCCGCCTCTTCCTCCTCCGGGCATAGCGCGGGGAGGCGATGGGCGCAAGGTGATGTTCCGGAAAACGAGGAGGGGGGGATAGTTTTGTGGGCAGGCAGAAGTCCCAGCCAACGCGTGAGCAGACATGCAGACTCCCTTTAAAGCCCGAAGGCTGCAGTTCTCGTTCCCAGCGCCAGACAACACGCCGCGAATGGTGCAGAGATTGATCGGACTTCCGGAGTGGATGGATTCGAGCATGTTGGTCAGGATGAAGACCACGGAGGACCAGTTGACATTGGCGATCGGGAGAACAAAACCCGTACCTACGAGGGAGAACCGAGGAGGCCTCACCGCTGATCTCAGCTAGAATATGTGCTCATCAGTAAGGAGAAGGTGCGAAGTCTGAGGACATGGCTCGAGTGAATGTCGTCCAACTGCGACCAATAAGTCGCCTCACATCTCTCTCTCTCTCTCTCCCTCTCGTTTTCTCTCCTTCTCGGGGGCCTACACATCGACACCACCACCAACATCGGGCACCCCCGACTCAGGGAAAACATGACCCTAGATCTCGGTCGTATAATCCGTCAGGCCTTCATACAGGCTTCAGTTCTACTGCTTCCCCCTCCTGCTAATAGTCAGGCTATCAAACAGGCCTCGTACAAGCCCCAGCTATCAACACCAAGGTCATGTGTCATCATCCCTCAATTGAGGTAGCCCCCGATCTTGGTGGTGGTGCTGCGGTGCTAATGCCCAGGCCTCCCACTGGCAAAAATCTAGGTGCACCCTGTCGCCCCCAGCAGGTGATGAGCACGTGCTCGCACAACGTGCCCTACGGCGAGTGCAGCCGGATCGAGGACAGACTCCATTTCACCCCCGACGCTGCGCGTGGCGGAGTGGCTGTAGCGAAGTGGATCGGCCTCGTGTGGGTGAAGTCTCTGCCTTGGGCTCTGGGCCCCGCGGCCGGCTTCCTCGAGAAGCAGGTCCACGACCAGGCGACCCCCAGAGAAATCCGGACATCGGTCCCAAACCCTCTGGGGGCGTCGCCGACCTCCAACGAGCAGACCTCGTGCGCAACCATGCCTAAGACGCCAGGGACTGCGCACCGTACGTTCCCCCAGGAGGTCGCTGGCGCCCGCTGGAAAGTCGGGTTGATGTCTGGTCTTCTCTGGGGGAAGGCGAAGGAGACGTGGGGCAAATTTCAAGCCCACCTGAGAGCTTGTGCGTCATAGGCGCCGCGGGCGGCATGTGCCCGCAAGGTGGATAACGAAACGCCTGGTCTGAGAACTTCGTCGGTCCCTCCCTCTCTCTATCCCTCTTTCCCTCGCTCGCCTCACATCCCCTCTCCTCTCCCTCCATTCCTTCCTCCCTCCCTCCCTCCCTTGTCCCTGCTTCTCCCTCCTCTCATCTCTCTTCTCCCTCATCGAAACTTTCCTCCCTCCAACCATCATCCCAACCAGAGTCTGTTCACAATGATACTGCTCTCCTCCCCCCCAAGGCGTGCAGTGGGCGCTTTCGCCCTCTCTGTGATTTGTTTTCTTGCACACATATTAAAACAATTTGCATTTGGTGTGTTTGCTCATGTTGCATCATTTCGGTGTTTCAATGTGGTGTTCCCGCTCTAGTTTTGGGCTTCGTTCTGGCATCGGTGCTTTGCTTTCTTCGTTCAAAATTGCGGTCTCGCCCAAGCGCGGGCCATTTTAGTTTTTCTGGATGCAACTCTTTCCACATCGTTGCCCCCTCCGCCCTTTTACCCTCTTCCGCCTTCTCCTGATCCTCCTGCTTACCCCGCTTCTCCAACAATGCACACAGCTTCCATCGTTTCTGACTGCGCAAAGCATGAGCGGCACCTGGGAGAGTCCAGGTCCACTGTGACACCCGTCGGCGGGTCGAGGAGGGAAGACCGGCGCAAGGGGAAGGGATGGATGCAGTCGGCCCAGATTCGTAGGTCGACCCTGCCCAAATCAAGGGTACCCCAGATTTCGTAATAAAAGGGAGGGGGTCTGGACCCTCCAAGACAAGCCATTTCAGACCCCCCCCGTGGGAGAACCCTCCAAAACGTCGTCATCAGACCCCCCCAGGCCCTCCAAGATAGCCTGGGAGAGACCCCCCCCGAAATGAGACCCCCCTCCCTTTATTACGAAATCTGGAGTACCCTCGTGTCCTGTGTCTCACGGCCCATGCTTCCTACATCCCTGTGGCGATGTGGCCTTCGGAAGGGTTTTGTGTCCTCTCGCGTGTCCTGTCCAATCAAGGCCGAGCGTAGGAGGGGTAGGATGTCATGTATGGCGCGAGCGCACCCAGGTTGCCCCACCCTCTCTCTCGTCATACATCCCCCCCCCCAGGCGCGTCGTTCAGTGTCTGCCTGCGCCGTGGATCGCCCGTGCCTGCTCGCAGGTTCTCCTCTCGTCCGTCCCTTCGTGCGTGCCTGCCTGCCCGAGCAGCCAGGCGCAGCCCTGCGGCGTCGGGGGGCGCCGCTCAGCGCGCCAGGCAAGCGGCGCGAGGGCTGCGGAGCACGCGGGTGCAGCGGAGGGGAAGGGCCTCTGGGAGGTGCTGCGGCCCGTCGGGCATGGGCGCAGCGCGAGGCGGGGGCTCATCCGCGACCGCCGCCTGGCGCCAGGCGCCGCCCCCCGCGAGGCAGCTGCTGCCCTCCCCCTCCGCCGCAGGCTGAGCGCCGCCCTGGCCCGCGGGACGGCGGGCCGCTGCCCGCGCGCCGCTCGCGCGAGGCGCTCGGGGTCGCCCCAGTGACCCCTCTCGGCCGGGCTCTGCGGCGGGGGCCCGCCCCGCCGCCTGCCCGCTGGCGGCTGCTCTGCAGCGCAGGGCCACCGCCTGGGGAAGCGAGCGTCGGGGGCATCCTCGGCAGCTGTCCCACTGTCCCCACTGTCCCCACCACCTTACCCACTGTACTACTGTCCCACCACTGTCCTCACCACCGCCTTCACCACTGTCCCCACCACTACCGTCCCCACCACTGTCCCACTGTCCCCACCACTGTCCCGTTGTCCCCTCACCACTGTCCCCACCACCACCGTCCCCACCACTGTCCGCACAACTGTCCCACTGTCCCCTCACCATTGTCCCCACCACCGCCGCAGAGTTTACATACGCGTACACATATATAAACATATATATATATATATGTATAAATAAATATATATATATATATATATATATATATATATATATTTACACTTGGGAAACCCAATCAGCGCATGATTTGAAATTTGAAACTATGGATCTTGAGATCGATTGTGAGATCGATGATGAGATCAAAAGTGGAATCGACAGTGAGGACGATTGTAAGGTTGATCGTAAGACCGAGAGTGAACTCGATTCAATGAGATCGATTGTGAGATCGATCGCGAGATCGGTCATGCGATCTCTAGTGTGATCGCTTGTGAGATTGATAGTGAGATCGATTGTGATATCGATGGTGAGATCGATCGAGAAGTCGGTAATGAGATCGATGGTGAGACCGATCGATAAGAAGATCGACCAGGAACCCAGGAACCCGGGAACCCCGCCGCCCTCCGAAATCGGCCCGGAACCGGGAACCCAGGAACCCGGAACCGGGAACCCGGGCCGGGAACCCAGCGTACGACGAAAATCGGCGGGGCGTTTGCGCCAAGCCATTCAACATCCGCGAAGACCCCTTCAGTGCAAGCACTGATTGGGGAATAAGAAAGCGTGACGGGTGGCATTGTAGAGAAACGACTGGCCACGGGCTGTGGGCGGAAGCTGCCTGACATCGAAGTGCGGCGGACAAGGAAGCAGAAACCGAAATATTGGATACGGCCCCGGAAGGTGGATCCAAGAGGGCCCCAAGGAGCTCCGAATATCGCTACAGACAAACATGTATACGTGTATATATATTTATATATATATATATATATACATGTATGTGCGTATACATATGAATTTATCTGTTATATCTATACATATATATATATATATATATATATATATTCATGCCATCTCTGGTAAATACGATTCATCCACAACTCCAAGAAAAAAGGCAATCGGATCAGCTCCTTCCGGGCACAGATGCACGGCCAACGCAAGCAATTGCAGAAGGAACCTGAGTTCTCGCAGCAAGGCAGAGAGTAAGATAATTGCAACGGCGTCAATGGATGCCACAAGCGCATCAGCGCAGCGCGGTGAGCAAGAGAGAAACGGGGAGGAAAGGAAAGGCGGGAGACAGGCCGGAAGAGGAAAAGCACACCGATATCTCACAAAAAACCCTGTGAAGCAGCGAGCGTTGGAAACTCGCTGGCGCAAGAGAAACGAAAAAAAAACATTTCACCTGGGGAAAACGGCATCCAGGCCTGGCCGGCCCGAGAGCCCTGCCAAAGCTCGAACTTCCATCCAACCAGGGCGCAATGGCCCGGCGATTGCGAATCGGAGGAGGAGAAGAGGTGGAAGATCGAGGGAGGAGGAGACTGACCAGGCCATCACAATCTCTAGCGTTCCGCAAGCGTGGCGGGTGCAACTTTTCCGCTTGTGCAGTTGTACCCGCAAGCGGGCCTCACATCGTAAAGTGCGCCCCGTCTCCGCCGGGACCGCCCTGGGCAGGACGGTTGGGAGCCTGCCTGGGCAGGGCCTTGGGGGTCACATGACACGATTGAGTGGGATGGGCAGTGAGATCGATAGATCGAAGGTCAAATCGACAATGAGGTCCATGGTGAGATCGGTTGAGTGAGATGCATCGTGAGAACGATCATGAGATCGATAGTGAATCGTGGGATTGAGGTGAACAAAAAACTGAGAAGTATCAGGAATCGTGGGATCGACAGTGAGATCGGTAGTGAGATCGATAGTAAGTTCGATCGCGAGATCGATCGTGGGATCGATCGTGAGATCGATAGCGGGGACGATATGTCGATATTGAGGTCGATAGTGCGACTGGTACTCAGGTCGATTGAGTGGCATCCGTAATGAAATCGACCGTGAGATCGGTAGTGCGATCGATCGTACATTCGATCGCGAGATCGATCGTGGGATCGTTTGTGAGATCGATTGTGGGGACGTGTGTCGATATTGAGATCGATAGTGAGACCGATACTTAGGTCGTAGGATCGGTTGTGAGATCAATAGAGGGGACGATCTGTCGATATTGAGATCGGTAGTGGGACCAGTATCTTAGGTCGACTGAATGAGATCCGTAATGACCTCGACAGTGAGATCGGTAATGAAATCGATAGTTAACCATCGGCCCAGAACCATTGACCAGGAACCCGGGAACCCGGTTCTGGGAACCCGGGAGCCCAACGTGCTACCAAAATCGGCGGGGCAATTTCGCCAAATCTTTCAACATTGAATGAGATCCGTCATGAACTCGACAGTGAGATCGGTAGTGAGATCTATAGTCCACCATCGGCCCCGATCCAATGATCAGCAACCCGGGAACCCGGAATCGGGGACCAGGGAACCAATGAGATCCGTAATGAACTCGACAGTGAGATCGGTAGTGAACCATCGGCCCGGAACCAATGACCAGGAACCCGGGAACCCGGGAACCGGGAATCCAGGAGCCCAGCGTGCCACCAAAATCGGCGAGGCATGTTCGCCAACTCTAGCAACATCCGCGAGGACCCCTTCAGTACAATCACTGATTGGGCAATACACCTACATATATCTATATATGTATATATATATATATGTATTGTATATCCCTATCTGTGTGTGTAGGTGTTTGTGTGTGTGAGTGTGTGTGTTTGTGTTTGTGTTTGCGTATGTGTGTGTGTGTGTTGGTGTTGGTGTTGGTGTTGGTGTTGGTGTTGGTGTTGGTGTTGGTGTTGGTGTTTGTCCTTGTGTTTGTGCTTGTGCTTGTGCTTGTGCTTGTGCTTGTGCTTGTGCTTGTGCTTGTGCTTGTGCTTGTGCTTGTGCTTGTGTTTGTGCTTGTGCTTGTGCTTGTGCTTGTGCTTGTGCTTGTGCTTGTGCTTGTGCTTGTGCTTGTGCTTGTGCTTGTGCTTGTGCTTGTGCTTGTGCTTGTGTGTGTGCTTGTGTGTGTGTGTGTGTGTGTGTGTGTGTGTGTGTGTGTGTGTTCGGGCCACTGCCTGCCGCGTTGGTCCCCCGAAGAGCGATCCCTCTGCTGCGGCCCTCGGTACGCCCCCCGCCCCGCATGGAGGACGACTTTCCGCTCCAGCCAGCGCGATCCGCAGAGGGGCTTGCTAGGAGCCGAACCGCAAGCAGGGTCGGGAGCAGGCGGGAGCCGCGCGGTCGCGAGGGCCTCCCCCCGCCGCGGGAGGTCTTCGGCGACGGCACGGCGCTGGACACCAACATCTACACGGCGTGGCCGA